ACAATGGGGCAAAAAAGTATTTAGTCAGCCACCAATTGTGCAAGTTCTCCCACTTAAAAAGATGAGAGGCCTGTTTCATCCTAGGTATACCTCAACTGTGAGACAAAATGAGGAAAAATAATCCAGAAAATCACATTGTCTGATTTTTAAAGAATTTATTTGCTAATGATGGTGGAAAATAAGTATTTGGTCAATAACAAAAGTTCATCTCAATACTTTGTTATATACCCTTTGTTGGCAATGACAGAGGTCTAACGTTTTCTGTAAGTCTTCACAAGGTTTTCACACACTGTTGCTGGTATTTTGGCCCATTCCTCCATGCAGATCTCCTCTAGAGCAGTGATGTTTTGGGGCTGTCGCTGGGCAACACGGACTTTCAACTCCCTCCAAAGATTTTCTATGGGGTTGAGATCTGGAGACTGGCTAGCGCAACTCCAGGACCTTGAAATGCTTCTTACGAAGCCACTCCTTCGTTGCCCGGGCGGTGTGTTTGGGATCATTGTCATGCTGAAAGACCCAGCCACGTTTCATCTTCAATGCCCTTGCTGATGGAAGGAGGTTGTCACTCAAAATCTCACGATACATGGCCCCATTCATTCTTTCCTTTACACGGATCAGTCGTCCTGGTCCCTTTGCAGAAACACAGCCCCAAAGCATGATGTTTCCACCCCCATGTTTCACAGTAGGTATGGTGTTCTTTGGATGCAACTCAGCATTCTTTCTCCTCCAAACACGTCTAGTTGAGTTTTTACCAAAAAGTTCTATTTTGGTTTCATCTGACCATATGACATTCTCCCAATCCTCTTCTGGATCATCTAAATGCTCTAGCAAACTTCAGACGGGCCTGGACATGTACTGGCTTAAGCAGGGGGACACGTCTGGCACTGCAGGATTTGAGTCCCTGGCGGNACTATTTCTCAACTTGGGATAAAGTACAGTGGGGCAAAAAAGTATTTAGTCAGCCATCAATTGTGCAAGTTCTCCCACTTAAAAAGATGAGGCCTGTAAATTACAGGCCTCATCTTTTTAAGTGGGAGAACTTGCACAATTGATGGCTGACTAAATACTTTTTTGCCCCACTGTACTTTATCCCAAGTTGAGAAATAGTTTTGTCACAGCATCATTGTTGACAGTCATTGTACAAGAATTATAAAAAATCTTTAAAAAAAAAAAGATAGAATAAACATTGAATGCAAAAATATACATATTCACAGAAAATACATATATTGACAAGAGTATCTAAGAATACACACTATACAGAATACATTCAAATACTCTCTGACAGGCAGAAACATAAACATAGTGTACTTCATACATAACTACAAATGAAGACTGCACAGTAGCTTTTTATGAAATGTAAACCATATCCAGTGAGGTAGTGTGAGTACAATATGTAAGTACAGTATGTGCAAATTGTTCATGATAATAGAAAGGGAAAAACTGAAGTCTTCTGCCAGCCAGAGATGAGGGTGTAGAGGGTTATTGCTTTTGGAAGGAGGATTTCATGTACCTGTCAAGACTAGATCCTGGTCAAGTTCAAAGTGATTTGTAAAGCATTGTCAACCATCTGCTTATTATGGCAAGGCTATTATCCCTGTGAATATCAGATTGATGAAGTCCTTCAAATACCAGTGTGGTAAATAAATGTAAGAAAACCACTATCAAAACTGTGAGTAGGCTACTGCGCAAGTAGGCCTGTGATTTCAAACACTTTGAATACATAGGCATGGCTAACAATTTATTTAAGAGAAATGTTTATCTTGTATAATATATTCATGACTGTCATATCTTAACATACAAAAGTCTCGAATTAGCCTTAACGGTGGTCTTGTCTGTTGTTGCAGACATGCAGGTGAAGCTTTGGATGAATAAGTACGGCTGGACGGAGGACGAGGAAGGACAGATCTTCATCTTCAACCAGGAGGAGAGCGTGAAGCCCAAGAACATCGTGGAAAAGATCGACTTTGAGAGTGAGTCCTGCCGCTCAAACTGATGAAGAAATGAGGGGAATAAACTAGACATTTAATCACAGTTGATGACACGATTAGGTTTACATGTGTCTTGGTGTTTCTGACTCCCCGTGTCTAATTCACCTAGATTTCCTGAGAGTATATGAACACTCCTCATTTGCATTTTGCATGTTTGTGTAGTTTTGAGAGATTATGGAGGCTAGATCTTATATCCTGATGAAACAGTAGACAGTTAGGGACCTTTTACTTTTCAAAATGAATCAACATATCACCATAGAATTGCATGTGCACAGAATTGTTTGGTCAATATCAGTAAAGGTCCCTCCGAATCTAAAAAATAGTTCGTTTTATTTAAAACTGACAAGCATTTTGGTTTTTCATTTTAAGCTCTCACAAATTATGGAAACTAAATGAAACATTTCACAATGAAAAATACTTCCAATACTGTTTTCAAATGAAACAGCTGTACAGTTAGTGCAGGAATGTGCAAAATATCAATCAAGGAATATGAAAAAGTTTATGTATATAATATAATTAATGTAAAGGTATGATGTAAAAAGAATAAGCGCAGTGAATACAGATAAAAGTAATTGTGATGGGTTTTTCTTAACCAGACATTCCATAGATATCCAGATACATTAATCAGCATGTTTCATATTTTACATTAAGGGCATCCTTTATTCTTGTGCTGATGAGTGACTGTACGTTTGACATTCTTTGTCTTTTCTCCTTTTTTTTCTGTTTTTCTCCACTTATCTCCCTGTATTTCTTCTCACAGGTGTATCCAGCATCATGGCCACATCTCAGTGATACACACACACACACACACACACACACACACACACACACACACACACACACACACACACACACACACACACACACACACACACACAATGCATCGGTTTGACAACGCTTCAGTCCAGCAAATCTTTTAGGTGTGTGACTCTTTTGATATCAAAAGACGATTCAAAAGACGATTCACGAAGATTCTTATATCAAAACCCATTCTTCATTCATTACATTTATAATATAGTACAATAAATATAGCTGCTCATTTATCATGGCAGTTCAATGTTTTTCTACTTGTGGACTCAACACCAAACTTAGGCGAAGGCAATGTGTTGTCCGAAACAAAACGAAAAAAGTAGAAAATACAGCCATAGGGCAGTCTGTTGATACTGACACCACCACACACTTTTGGTTGGTCATAAATGAAGATTAAGAAGGATTATTTCTGGATAGACTATACATGATTTAGGAAAAAGCTGCATATTGAGCCTTTACTGGACGAATCCACTTCGATTTAAAGTGGGAAGTTAGACCTAAAAACAATCTTAGCTATCAATGTTTATGAAAGTAACAAAGAGTGAGACACATTCAGATCAGATGTGATCTCATGCAGAAATCAATATGGATTGAATTTACAGAGTAATTCAATTACACCTAAAACAAACTCTTTTCACTTTGCAGTCTAATCTCACTTTCATTTCAAATCACTTAATGAAAGGACTTGTTAGCTCCTCGCTGTGAGAGACTGAACTGCTCAGTAGATTTCAAATGTATTGGTTCTGTTTGTGTTGTTTTTCCATTGGCAATGCAACTTTTGACTGCTTAGAGTTCATATAGTATGTTACTTATGACCCAATTCTGTGTAACACCTTCTTGGTCAAGTTGAATCGGAATTTATTGATAAAAGACCTAATTTCTGTGAATTTATACCTCATTTTTTAAGTAAAAAAAGCTTAAATAACAAACCATTGATTCTATTAACTTGAATAAAATACAATTAATTCAATTAAATAAGTCCTTGTTAATTGTTTTTGCAAGATTGCGATGGAACCATCCATGTTGATTTTTGTTAGAGGTAATTAGGTAATTAACTCATATTTCTTGTTTTTAAACATTTTGAAAGGGGTCACATTTGACTTGAGGACTACAGGCAGGTTACATTCTAAATTCCTTTATTACCGTGATATCAATACCCTCCACAATCCTAACCTCACAAACATTAGAGTCTCCATCCTCATTGTCATTTCCCTATCATCCCTGAGCTTATCTCCTCTGTGAGTGTCTCTCCTCTGTGGGTGTCTCTGCTCTTTTAATCGCAGCACTGCAACGATATGTCAAAAGAAGCCTTTTATGCTGTCCTCGTCTCCGTACTATAATGAACACTTTATCGATCTGAGAGGAGCAAAAACTGGCACACGGCTATCTCGCAGAAACCTGTCCTTGCAAATACACTGACAGAGAGGATGTGTTAACTCCTGTACACACACATTTTCTCATCTTCCTCTTAAGTGCGCATTCATCACTGCAAAACTACACTGCATTGCCAGCAGAGAGACAGATAGGGGACATTTTGGAGCCAAATCTGGGGAGAAATTAAATTTTAGAGCTTACAATGATTCAGAACTTCTTCCCAGCAGACATTTGAAGTAATAGGCAAGATGTGCAGGTATTATTAAATATATCATTGATGGCTCAGTTCCATTACGTGTGCCACTAAGCCAGAACATAAAGTGTTTTTTTAACTCCCAGTTGCTGAAAGGACTGAAGCTTCCTCTGGTAGGACCAAAGTGTAAGAAAATATAAGCATAACAATTCATATAAATATAAATATTGCAGTATGAACCATATCAGAATCATATAATATTTAAGGACTAATTGTCACGACCTCGATACAAACTGACGAACCCAAGTCTTGAATGTAAAAAAATGTAATTTTAATTTCACAGATCAGGTAATCCCTTTTAACAGAGTAAAAGGAAAAGGAAAAGACTAGGAATAACAAAAAGAGAACTTAAGAAAAACTCAAGCCTACAAAATTAACAAAAGAAACAAAACCTGACATGAGTGAAAACGATCCTTTCTGAGCTGAGGCTTGGCACGACCATTCAGAAAAACAAACAAGACGAACTGACACAGGACAGGGGAGAGACAGGACTATTTAAACATGAGGTGAGTGGGAACAGGTGGAAACAATCAGGGGCCGGACAGACACTGATGATGGTTGGAAAAACACACAAGGTGAGGAAGAAACAGGGCCTGAAATGAAAGAGGTAAGTACCAAAATAAAACAGGAAATGGAAAATGAGACATGGCAATAAACACAGACGGACTAGAGATGAAGAACCTAAATAAACAGACATGACCAGATGTGAAAAAACATGAAAATGACAGACATAATACATAAACATAACTAACACATTTGACGAGACACAACACTAATGTATACATAACTTAAAAATACAGCTGGTAAATGTGGAGCTACTTTTAAAACATTTTCTTTTATGTCAATTAATTTATTGGCTTGAATATTTCTTCACCTCAGGATCAGTCTTACTGATATAATAATATCATAATTCATTTGTTAGCTGTATTTTGTGCTATTAATCTGAAATTGTACATAGTAAATGGAATGGAATAAAAAATCTGGCTCTGTTTTCACTCAAGAATTTATGTTTGAACATTAACAATAATGTGTTTTATTTTACTTCGCGTATTTTCATTATTTTGTCAAAGTGGTTGTATATTTGCTATGTCATTTGAATTGAGTGAAAGGTGGTCTTATTCTTGTGTAGTATGTCTTTCTCTTATATAATCGTTCCTTTTCCTCTTATTGTTTTCTATCTCTTGTATGTAACCTGATTAACAACACAGATTCCCACATATGTTTTTAACAGCTCTCTCTCTCTTTTTTTGATCTTTTGTTGTATTATGTCCTATAATCGCCTTCTGCTGTTTATCTCAAACACATTCTATTTATATAAAACCTTACTGAAGACATGAAATGATGCACATGTATTATTTTGATCATCACCCTTCTGCTCTCTCTCAGGGACATCAATTCCACTGAGTGTTACCGCAAAACCCCATTACTCCTCATGTCTTTTCATCCTGTCCTTTGCCTTTGCTCAGCACTCCTCAGAGGTAACTCAGATGTATTTCTATCCACTTTCCCCCCCACTGTTAGTTGATCACAACGTCGACGACCTACCCATTTATGCTTATTCAGGTCTTACACTCTGTAAGTCGCAGGCGACGGAGCGTCAGCAAAATGAGTAAAATGCATAAATGGTGCTGAGTTTAAGAAACAGCAGATAAGGTGCCTTAATCGTCGCCAGCATACAAAAACGTACACACCTGAAAAGTCGAGGGGATTGATGCGTGTGCAATTTTCACTACTGGCTTCTTTCATTTTATGGCCTTTCTCTCCCTCTCTCTTTGTTGCTGTTTTGAAGCCCCACCCAAGAGTACTGCAGTTTTCCAAAGTTCCTCCTGAGGGTGGAGCACCCGGATACAGGACGCATGCCAAATGTTTGACATCATTTTTTTTGTTGTTCCCGAATACATCCTCAAAATATTAAAGCAAACTTCTGACATTGAATATGTTGGTTATTCCTAACCCAATGTAATTTTAGTTAGCGTGTGTGACCATCCAAGATTACAACCTGGACGTAAATATCGGTGTGCATGATGTAAGCTTCATATTTGTATTCTGTACCTCTACTGTGACATGTTTACATGCTTTAATTTGTTTTTAATGTTTAAAAAGGTCTCTATTTTTCTCACACTGCCTGTGCTGCAGCATGTCTTTTCACCCTCTGTCTGAAACCAGAGCCCAGTCTGCTCTGATTGGTTAGCTGACTGACTCTGTTGTGATCAACTACTTAGTGATGACCTTCCCCTTAGCCTATCACGTACATTGTGCTGCAGCGATAGCCAGAAGAAGCACAAGTGTTACAGTTATGTCACTAGTATGTTACATAAGTAAACAAAAGGAGTCCAATGGAGCCATTTCAGGAGGGGTGTGAACTCTGGGATTTTAGCTTTTGCAACTAAACTACACGCTTGTTGAGAAATGTTCACACTTTAAACTTGTGATCCACCTAAACCTCATCCACCTTACAAATATATGGCAACAGCCATACTGAGCCACACAGGAGCTATAAGGGCCATACCACATCATATCTATGCCCTTTATATGGCCATTTACATCTAGAATAGTTGTAGTGAGAATAACAGCTGAGGCTGATAGGAATGTCGTTAGTATGCAAGATTAGTTAAAAGTCAACATTTTAGACAAGTGGAAGCATGGCTAAATCGATAACGACCGACATGGTGAAAAAATCAACAAGTCGACATTTCCGTAGAGCAATGCTGTATGTGTGGCTATAAATGTACCAGCCCATAATATTAGATATTTTTGTATGGACATATGTTTTGTACGAAGGATATAGGGCCAGGCATAAGGAAAAGATGAAGATATTTGTATCATTTTCCATTTCAGAAATATGGTAGAAATGTTGAGAACAAAGCATAATTATTAGGATTCCTGGTAACGCAAGTAGTTTTAAACATTTAATATTTATTTTAGACATTTCAGCTTTATTATTGAAATTATTATTCTACTTTATTATCAATATTTTGATTTTATTCTCAAAATGTGAGCATAAGTCATGGATGTACATCAGTAAGGTGTTCTTATCTCATAAACACATATTCCTCCTGTCATGAGTTCATCTCATAACTCTTATCTCCTCTCTCTTCCTCCCTTTCTCTCTGTGTCTCTCACCCGTTGCTGTTTGTGCTGTGGGTTACGTAAAGCTCTACAGCAGCAGCAGGGAGAGGGAGGACACCCATGAACGCACCACACCTACAGGGACTGCAGTGCTCAGCAGAAAATACACCAGCACTGAAAAAATAACACGTGAGTGGTCGTGCCAGGCAGAGAGTGAATGAGGGAGAGAGGGATGAAGGCACGCAAGGAGAGAGAACATGAGTATCATCATCATATCTTCAGTATCTATGCAAAGAAGGGACAAGGAAGAAAACGAATGATCAGGCAAGAGATACAAAATGGAAGAAATGCT